CTCGCTGTGTCTCTCTCTGTCAAATAAATAAATAAAATCTTTTAAAAAAAAGAAAAGGTTAGCATCTAAAGCAAGAAAGTTAGGAGTCCTACAATCCCAGACCCTGATCAGACAAAATCTGCTTTGTTCAGTTGATAGTCTTTTATTTAAAAAAATCATAAATGAACACTACACCAAAAACGAATGATGTACTATATGTTGGCTAACTGAACATAGTAAAAAATTCATAAATGGGGCCATCTGGGTGGCTCAGTCAGTTAAGCGTCTTACTCTTGATTTCAGCTCAGGTCATGACTTGGGGTCCTGAGATTGGGCTCCGAGTGGGGCTCCACAGTCAGCATGAGTCTGCTTGGGATTCTCTCTCCCTCTGCCCCTCCCCCCCGCTTGTACTCTAAATAAATAAATAACTGAAAAACTAAGTAAATAAAATCTTTTAAAAAATTTCATAAATGGCTGTGTCTAGAGAAGAGAGACCAGGAATGATGAAGCATCTTAAAAATATATTATATGAGGCAAGGCTCTAAGAAGTGAGGACGGCTAGTTTAAATCAGGCAAGATCTGGAGAAAATATAACTACCTTCAAATATTTGAAAGACTACCAGGACAAAGAAAGACAGACTTACTGTGTAGTTCTCAAAAAGGCAAAACCAAAGCTAAAAATGAGAACTGACAGGGAGATAAGTTTCAGCTTAGCATTCAAGTATTCAAAAATGACAGAGGCTGCTTTGTAAAGTCAAAAGGCCTCAGATCATTAGGAATGTTCAAGCATAATGACTATCAATCGGGAACAAAGTCTTAACCATGTTGAGTGACTGCTAAAATCCATTCCAACATGGACTTTACTAACCTTTGGATTGTTTCAGATAGGAATTAGTCCAGAATATGCTTTGAAAGTAGAAGAGGGTTTGGTCTTTTAGAATTTGTTTTAGTGGAGCCAAATGGGAAGGACGTTCTAGGTTGGGGCTCCAGTAATAAAAGACAAAGAATTCACTGCTCTCAGGTTCTTCAATAGGTAGAATCCAAATA